TCACCAGTTGCACCTGATATTACGCACAAGGAGAATTCCCTGGCCATTGAGAATTTCTTTAGTAATTAATAAGGTTTTGTCTAGCTTCGGTGAGTGCTAAACATCAGATGAGTGCTAAACATCAGTTTCATCTACACACTGGCTTTGTGGTTGCCTCACTTCCAAACACGCCCCATAGACTAATTCTATTTACGAGGGGTGATTGATAAGTAGTGAGCCTAACACAGAAAGAAACAAGAAATTCAAATCAAATGCATTTAGTTTTCAACATAGTCCCCCTTCAATGTAATACACTTCTACCATCGATGTTGCAGAGCCTTTATTCCAGTTCTGTAGAAGTCTTTGTCTTGGGTGTGTAGAAAATCATCCAAAGCGGCAATGACGTCATCGTCAGACGGGAAATGCCTACCGGAAAGACATTTATTCAGAGCAGGAAACAGATAGAAGTCTGAGGGAGCTAAATAGAGAGAGTAAGATGGATGTTGAAGAAGTTGAAAACCACAGTCATGGATTGCTGACATGAAAACAGCTGATTTGTGCACTGGTGCATTGTCCTGGTGGAAAATCACACCTTTGGTCAGCTTTCCTCGTCTTTTGGTCTTAATTTCTTGCCTCAACTGCCTTATAAGGGGTACATAGTATCTACCGTTAATTGTTTGACCCTTTTGGAGGTAATCCACCATGAGAACACCCTCAGAATCCCAGAATACTGAGGCCATCACCTTTCCTGCCGATGAAACAGTCTTTGCCTTCTTTGGGGGCGGCGACGTCGCATGTTTCCACTGTTTTGACTGCTCTTTGGTTTCTGGCTGAAAGTGGTGGACCCAAGTTTCATCCATAGTAACAATTTGTTTTAGGAAGCGGCCAGGATCGGTTTCAAATAAGGCTAGATTCTCTTCTGACATGATGTGTCTTGAACGCTTTTGATCAGGCGTCATAAGCTCCCATCGTGCTGAAACCTTTGTCATTTCCAAAGTTTCAGTGGTAATAGAATGAACTCTCTCCTGGCTAATACCAACTACCCCAGTTATGAATCGTTCAGTAACTCGCCGGTTATTCATTATCAGATCGTGGATTTTTTGTACCATTTCAGGTGTTGACACAATTTTTGGTCGACCAGGCCGTGGTTCGTCTTCAATGCTGTCTCGGCCACGCTTGAATTCAGCTGACCATCTTTTATTTATTGCAAATGAAGGGGCATCATCTCCCAATGTCTCAACCATATCATCATGTATGGTTTTCGGTGTTAGACCCTTTTTATGCAGATACTTAATCACAGCTCTCGCCTCGATATGGTCCATTTTCTGATAACAACAGACCCTACTTGATTGGTATGACCTGTCACAATCAAACAGTTTAACCGAATGTGATGAAAGTTTGTGACAGAGCCCGAGGAACATAATAGTGCACGTGCAAAACGTGGTATCATTGTGTTGCACGGTTTTCCAATCGAGGCCCACTACTTATTAATCACCCCTCACATGTTCCGTTATCAATTTATCTGAACCGCAACCGCTGATTTATTGGTGATTTATTGTTATCAAATTTAAGAATACATAAGTTATGCCTAGTGTATTTAGGTCGACATATATTATCGTAATTGCTCGGAACAGTAGCCTTCACACATAGGGTGGGTGTGGATGGGGGTAGAGTGGTCTGCCTGAATTAGGGTTAATTTTTAAGCTTATTACGTGCACTAGAAATTTACTAGCTCATTGACCCCGTAGTCTGATAATCCCAACATGGCCGTACAGTTCTTGGTAATGGTCATAACAGAGCCCTCCCCTGTTGAGCTAATTCTTAAAACAATGGGCACCCATCATTCGCCCTTTCCTCCTCAGCTCCCATATTAGTACACAGTGTGGAATCTAGTATAACCTGTTTGCAAGTTTAAAACGTGCCTAGCCCTAAGGGCTGAGAGGTCTCCATTATTTACCATGGGGAGATATTAGAATTGGATTCTCCCACTGGCCGCCCCAGGCTTAGAGACTGGGTATTTTACTAGTATTATTGTTGATGTGTGAGCTGTTTTATGTTATGTACTATCATAGCTGTTCGTAACTCTTGTATTACTGGTAAACACGGATTTAAACCAATTGATAAGGTGTCTTAGATTGCTATTCATTGTAGTAAAATACACAACGTGAAGTCCGAGGACAGGTCACAGTGCTAATGACAGAATATTTAAGTCCACCAGTGATACATGACCGGGATAGAGTCACGTTCTATGTTTAGTGCTATGTCACAATATAGGTGACAGCACAGTGTCTGTTTGTTTATTTGGTGACCGGGACCGAAACCAGGATAGTCTTACAATCTCAATTTAGCAGACGTGCCGTGGGATCGTGTGTTGGTGTCACATATAGTGCACACTTTCCTCGATGATTCAAATTAGATACGAACATTTATTGAGGAAATATATACACATATTCTTTTCATGAGCGTTAAGAATGTCTTTTTACCCTTAATAAAATAGATAATTTTAAACGCTTTAATACGCATTTAAACCCCATTTCTTTCTTGTTTCAAAAATTATACTATCATCCAATCTCATTACTGACACAGTGTACTTTTGAGATGTACTCTAGAGTGTTATTCTTCTGCACAGGAAATACAATTACCAAAACGAACTGAGAGATCACGATCAATATTATAACAACCGTATTCCTGTCGGATTGACAAACACGTTAAATAAGTTGGCACAGCTCTGTCATCAACCCAGCATATGGCGTTTGTATTTATTAGTGGTTTCGTATATAAGTCAACATAATATGTATAAATTCGTGATCCTGCCTAAAACTATTACCCAACTAATAGACGTTCGCACATCCCTCTGGCAGACTAATCAAAGAGTTGATAAAACGAACAAGGAGGGCTACTCTGGGGTATTTTAGGTAACGAATTTATGTCAGGTATAATTAACTAGATTTTATGCTGTAAATAACTCTGACTCAATCGAAAAGTTTGAAAAACTAGAAATGACAGAAACAGGCTCGTCACAAAACGTCAGCAAGTTCACGAATTAAATATTTAATAAACAAGTATTTGGATTTCTATTATACATGTAATCTCTTGAACACTTTTTAAAATGAATCCGGATGTTCCCTGTATCGGCAAATGAAATGGATTGAACGTCCAATTCTTCTGCCCTGACTAGGACAGTATTCCATATCACAGAAATATCACCCCAGGGTGAAAATGAAATACAGCTTACCGTCATATTTTTCTGCATGTATAAGGGGAATGAAGACTGGGATATACCATGTAGGGTGCTATGAGGGAAATTAATCCTGTACAATAGGACCAGTGTGAGTGATGGACAGATTTCAAAGTCAAGCCCAAAGATTTCTCTAGTTATATTATTGTTATGAATATGTTATTCTAATTATTAAGAAAATAGAACTAATTTCACTTGGAAAAAGAGGTTAATGAGAACCGATTATTGTTTAACATCCGTTTAACTCGATATTTCAACGTCTTTATCCCATTGTCACCTAATCACCTAATTTCTTTCAAAATGTAGCCTTATTAAGATTTCATATCGATGTTTATTGGGAAAAAGCAAAAGGAAAGAATCATTTTTTTTTTTTTTGGTATATATATATATGTATACTTAACTATTTTTTAAAAATAACCCTGGATAGGATTGACATTTTTCGAGACCCCAAGCACTGATAACGTTATATGGCCTCACATACAGACTATGTAATAGAAATATAAAACGATACAAAACCGTAAGATTATTATAAGTTTTGAAGAAAGAAAAAATTAAAAGATTATCATAATTGAAAGATTTTTTCTAGATTTAATGATCGTAATTTTATTCAATTCAATTCCAGATTAATGAAAATATACAACGAGATGTATTTTACAATTATTCATTAAAATGCGCAATTTAACGGAGCTTGTCAATTAAATTGTATACAGGGTCCTATCTCTAGACAGCAATTCTTTACTTTATGTCTTTTATATCGTGGCCCCTTTTTGTGAACACTGATTCACCCCATTTGCACTGCAAAAACAAAATCTGAGCTACATATAACTAGAGTTTATATGAAGGATGTACATGTACTACAAAATTATGGAAGAATACCGTTGCTAGTATTCTAAATGACAACTGACAATTGGCGAATGGGTTGTCTCACAGTGATCAGTAGTGAATATTCGATTGGCCGCTAATTGTCTTGTGGGTTGTTTTTTTTGTCACATTGTCACATTCTAGCATGTTTACACCCGTAGGAGCAGTATTCCAAATATATGGGCAAAAATATCGTCCCAGGGTGATCGAAAAACAATGAAAATGAAATGAAATAGGCTTTAATGTCACACCTTTCTGCATGAAACGGGCAAAGGAAGACGGACATACGTCATTATGTACGCTATGAGGAAATGTTACCCGGGTAGTGGTATTTCCGTCTACTTTACATCGAATTCCAACTGCTATGGAGTCCTGCTTAGAGGTCCCGCTTTTTTTCGGCACTTTTTCAGCTACATTACTAGTTATAACTAAAAGTACACAGATAATTATAACCTTTAACAGGCAATTTTAACATGCTTTTCAAAATAATCAAATGTCAATGAAATTCTATACTAGTGATATTTCAATTGACCTGAAAATAATAAACTTTTATTATTTTGGTGGTTTTACAGGAAAGCCTACTGTTTATTTGTCTGTTACACCTACTTGGACAGTACGCGATGGAAAAAATAAACTAAACCAACCTAATAGGAATCCTACATTTTAATGAGAAATATGGTTAATAGGTTTTAATTACCTTAAAAATATTTACTTTTTAATCTTTTTCTTCCGAACGCATAACTTGCAGTAATTGTGATTAAAAAAGCGTAGAAACATCGTTATTTAAACGTGTTACCTACATACATGTGCTTGTCAAGTTTAAACGGACATGGTGAACTAAATGACGTATCTTTGTTAATTATATCGTTTTTCCTTGTGCATGGTCTTAATTATTTTATTTTTAGACGAGGTTTTCGGTTAATTGGTCCAGGATAATTCTTGTTTATGAGATATTTGTGAAACATTAAAGCCCGTCACAATGATCAATACCAGTGATTTTGTTCCTTCTATACGATTTAGCACGCGAATCCGATATCTCAGCGCATGACACGTTTTCCGATAAATAAGCCAATGATTTTGATGATATAAAGTTTTAGAAAGGTAGAAAAGTGTCATACTTGATAGTTGGCAGACACCGAGAACAACAATGAAATTAAAAATATATATATTTAGGTTAATACAGTGTAATTGGTGATTTTCAAAACAAAAACAACCAATAGTACAGATTCAGTTCTCGGCAATTTACAAACGGTACAGGAAAAGTTTGAGACGATTGGACAAGTGGCTGTTTAAGTAGACATTTCAGTTCTTAGACGTGGATGAACTGTTAATTTTTGGTTTAGTCCCGCAAGTGCATACTATTGTTATGTGAACTCACAGACGATAATGCATTGGAATTTTATGATACATAACTATTAAAAGCCCACAAAACAGGATACAGTATTGTTATCATGGCAGCTAACATTTCCGATGTGGAGATTATTTCCAAAAATGTCTCTGAACCATGTTTTCACGAACTTCTTAACAGTACCACTGGCTGTAACGAAACGTTGAGTGATGATTATTACTATGATTATGACTATTCAATTTCTAATATACCGTTAGAAGAGTTGTTACCTGTAACGGTAACTTACAGTATAACGTTATTAATAGGCATTGTTGGTAACTTTTTGGTTATATTTGCTGTTTGTAGATATAAGAGATTAAGGAGTATAACCAATTCATTTTTGACGAGTTTAGCCATAGCTGATCTACTGTTGTTACTAGTTTGTGTTCCAATTAAGGTGAGTCATTTATTTAATCACATTTTGTCGACTATAAACTTGTGTTTTTAACAAGTTGATCTTACATGTAAGAAAAACTTATATGCCATTTTTAATTCGTCGGTGTCATTCCAAAAGTCGGCATTTTACGAAAATCGTTTGTGCACAACTCAATTTATTAACATGAAATACATCATACTATCCTTTGCTGCAATATTCACGACATATAAAATAAATATTTATAATCGATCACATTTTTGTAGGCTATAAACCTGTTTATCTTTCGAGGTTAAACTATTACATATAAAAAAAAAATGTATATTATGTCTACCCATTGCCATAAAATTCGAGTTATTTATTCAATTACATTTTCCAGTATATCCTTTGCGACAGTCAACAATGTATTGTCCTTTAATTGATAGTACGGGAGCCACAGTGGCTGTCGCGGGTTCGATACCGGTCCCGGTGTTGACCGAGAAAGGTTGACCGAGAAAATTCATTATGATTTTCCGACGTGGTTTCTCCCTTTCAGTGCAAGTCGGATGGCCTGACAAAGACAGCTGTCTAGGCGCTTGGAGGGGACAGTAGGACCTTAAACCCCATTTCATTTTATCTATTATATTTAGCATCCCGCAACCTTCCGTTCCGCAGCTACACCCGTTTCCCTAAACCTTCTGAACGCAATAGAGTTTACAGATTTAACAGATTTATTTCAAATTTGGTGTGTAGCATGGTTCATGAGACGAACGCTATCGCTCGGGCAAAATTTCCCTCCTAACACACTGTATGGCGTATGCCGGTCTTTATTAGCCCAATGGGGGCAGAGCAGTAGGACGTTAAACCCAATTTCATTTCATTTTAATTGATAGTACAAGGGTTATTATATACAAAACGTGATGGGATATCGGTAGGCGCTACAGGTCGGTAACAGCAAAGTTAGCCACGGTTCCACTGAACGCACGGCACGACGCATTAAGGTATATCGTCAAGTTTCAAACATTAGGCCTATTATGGGCGCCGAATTAAAGACTCGGTTTATAGGCTACAATAAAGTCTGTTTGGGGACCACAATGTCCCCATAAACAATCTCCTATTCCATTTTTCCCATAAAAATAAAGCAAGAAAGGATAGTTGATAACCAACCTTCACATGAAGTTAAAAGATAGTGTCATTTAACGTCTTTAGTTCGGCTCCGGTCTTTTGGCAAATTATACATGGTAAGACTGTAACACAAAGAAAACATATCTTATTCAAATACATAAAATATTTGACGCCAGGCCAGGGTGAGAATCGAATACACAGCCATGTGATCACAGAAGTGTAAAATTTCGAAATGAAATAGAAACAGTGTGGAAATTGCAAAAAAAATTATTATAAAAATAAAAAAAAATACAGTGTAATGGTTACATGTTATGATGTTTACATGTACTACTATTACGTTCTTGTATCGTGGACATGGGCAATAATTGAGTCAAGATAACAGCCAGTGCAAATAGTGGGTATGAAGTGGTGACTTTTGTAATCTACAGCAACACGTCATGTCTCCAGGATATAATCCACTTGTCTCTGTATTTATGGATATTAGAAAGAATGGATTTCTACTGAAACACCGCGTGAACTGAAATACTAGAAAACATTTTAACAACCTAATTAAATGTCTTCATTGTTATATAAAAGAAAAGGAATGGGCTTTGGCGTGATACTTTTCTGAATCAATCGGGATAATGAAAACAGTCATACGCCATGTTCTGTGCTCTGAGGAAGTTTTCTCATTATCGGCCTATTTTTTTGTCGAATTCTAGCTGCCAAGGGTTTTTTGCGTGAAGGCCAACGTGTACACGGCACATGGCCTTTTTGGCGGAACTTCCTGGTTAGTGAGCCAGTATGTCAGTACCTTACTCAATGACAATAGATCAGTAAAATACATCCTCAGTTCCATGTAGTGTGTCATGAGGAAAATTTGTACCGAAAGTGGTGTTTTCCCCATATCATCCAAGCTGACAAGGAGAAATCAAGAGTTGGAACGTCCTCGGCCAACACAAGGATCGAACTCCGGAACTCCTGGTCAGTTCCTATTACATTTCGATGGAATATACGTTTGAAGATTTAACATTTATCGTTATTAAACATACATTATGCAAGGGCCAAATCTGCCAATTGCAGGTCTTTCTTTAGGCCTGAAATGTTATCTAATTTAATAATTAGACATTAATTAACTTATCCAGCCCATAGTTAACTCTCGGCGTTATCGCTAGCCTGCGATATTTACTGGATTTGATGATTTAATCCAAAAATGGATAATCGAGATTATGTTTTTTTTATCGTACCGACTTTAGTAATGATGATCGAGGCTAGGCCTAAAATTCGAAAACTAAATCTCGGTTCAGAGTTTATAACCATTATAGTGAGAACTGCCAACTCTTTATCTAATCTCTCATAATGCCCCTTTAACCTAAAATCAACAAACATTTCACTTTCACAGTTAGAAAATAATAGACTCATGCACACATATTTTCGAAATACTTTTAACGTTACTGTTGTATTTGGGTTGTGACAAATTCTTACTAATCAATATTTCGGAGAAATGTTCAATAATCTCAACTAATTTATCAATAATTTAAGGATTAAAGGCGCCCATCCGAGCATTTACAGACGCCACAAAGACAACTTTCATGCTTTTATATATGGAAGGTTCTTTCGTTAAAAAAACCTTTAAAAAGTAAGATAAGATATTAAAGTAAATAAGCTACAATATTTAAGTACATAAGATGGAATATTAAAGTAAATAAGATACAGTATTAAGGTAAGATAATATAATAATATTAAATTAAACTACAATATTGAAGTAAGATACACTATTAAAGTAAGGTACAATATAAAAGTAAGATACAATATTCAAGTAAAAAAGATACAATATTAAAGTAAGATATAATATTAAAGTTAGCTACAGTATAAATTAAATACATGTTATATGAAAGTAAGATACAATATTAAAGTAAGATACAATATAAAAGTAAGATGCAATATTCACCTGCTTGTAACCAACCGATAGCGTTGCTGCGTTGGTCTTGTTCAGATGTGGCATCACTTGGTTCGTTGAGTGTTTACACGAGCAACTGATTTTGAAACCGAGAACCCCGGGATTTTAAATGCCTTAGATTTGGGTCTCATGCGAAAAGCTTGCGAAGTTGTTAAAATATGTGTCTTGGTGCAATCAAGCGAAAACAAATTTCGACAAAAAGTATGACCAGTCACAATTAGTGACCCTACATTTAAAATCGATAAAGAAATCCTTTTATCCATACGTAATGACAATAAATACAAATAAGATTTATGGAAACAACGATCCCGTTCAAATAAAAAATGATGAAAAATGGGCTGTGCGTTTCTTTTTTTGAAGAGTATATTTGTTTCTTAGAGTCTCCATTTTCTTGATAAATCTATTCGTTCTAGTTCAAGCCCGCTACAAATCTAATTTACATCTAATAATTCTTTTGGCCAAATTCTTCTGTTGTGGTTACAATAATTTGTAATTACCCCCACTTGAACCGTGGCGCTGCCTGTAGGCAATTCGTCATAAAAATCCTGCAAGAAACGAAAGGATATGGGATGCTGTGTGTTAGAATACTCGCCAGCTGTCTGAAGAACGTCTTCTGTAACAATATTTACATTTGATTTGCGGCCATTATTATACCATCATTTATAGTTAAAGCAGACGGCAGTGAGACTAAATGACACACAGGGAGTCTTCCATCAGATTAACGTATCATAAATACCGGTGTTGATTCTGGTCGATCCGATTGCTAACGTCACAATGTAGACTGGGGGGGCACAGGAAATTGAAATACTTTTTATGACAGTTTTCATGACATTCCTTTAATTTAATCTGAACAGGACACAACGACACTCCATATTTCATAAACATGCTAGAAGCAAGTGAACAAATATATCAAATTTGATTGACATTCTCAGCAAATCATCATCAAATCATTTCATTTTATTTCATTCCTAAAGACTAATCGGAATCTTAGAGTCAATTTCGATAGGAAATGTTTTATTACATTTTATAGAAACTATAATGGTCAAAGTTCAGGGTATCTATTCAAATCTTAAGTACATGCTGGGTAAAGTAACATAAGCCGAGCAGTTTCGTATCAGAAGGAATTGATTTTTTTTCGCTATTGATGGCAACTGATGTTTACTCCCTCTACGACTTCCTAATCTTATCATTGTTCTTATGTGATTGGCAAATCTTCAAATATTTATACAAGAGATTTTACGATGCCTTATCAAATTGAAACTAAATGACCAATAAAAACAGCTAGAGAAAATGTGGTGATCGGTGAATTAAATTCTTACGTGTCATAAACATCTATTTTCGTTTTAGCATGTTTGATTGCCCTCACACGTAGTTTATATCCGAATTTGCTAAAACCACCTTTATTGAAATATGTTAGTCCCAAAATAACCTAGTTTGTCTCTATCCCCTGAAGAGAAGTTGGTAAAATAAAAACGCCTACTTTTCCATCTAATTTTAAAACAACGAAAATCGGTGGCACAAGAGTTATTTGAATTGTAAACGGGAGTGTAACTCTTGACCTAGTAACTTCTTACTTACATAGAATAAACTGGCTTTTTACACAGCTGATTTATATGACATCATTTATATATTGTTCTTTTCTCATTATTTCTTTTAATTTACTATCCTGTCCTTGCTCATGGCGTAACGATATGTTATCGACTTATTGCTTTTGTCCCTTTCTACATGACAGAAGATGAATAAATAAATATAAATAATGCAGATGAAATCCATAACATATTGCAAAATAGCTATAAAGGTTAGAGAGGCCTAGTTGAAATGCCGTTGTAATAAACTCATTAGGTAAGATTAGACAAAGAGCTGACAATTCTCGCTATAACAGTTAAAAAATACATAAAGAAAAGAGAATATGTTTGATTTTATTTATTTATGCACACTTAAATGTCATTTGTACAACGTATTGCTTGAATCTGAATAAAGA